GTTGAGTCATTGCACAACCTGCAAGCCGCGCCGGCGCCCGTCCCAGTCCCGCACAGCCGGAGCAACATCCCGGGCGAACGGCTGACTGACGAACGTCGCTTCTGGAAACTGTGCTTGCTTGTCTGCACCATGGAAACTGTGCTCCTGCCAACTTTGCATTGTTAAACCGCGCTGTCATAGTGGGCTACTAGCAACCAATCATGTTAAGGTCATGCAATTGATCCACCCCCCGCGTGATCAGCCACCTGCATAGCGTAGCACCACTGGGCATCAACCCAGCACGCGTGCCCACCCCCGGTCGGGTCCTTGCCCCTGGAGAGTGGCACTCGCGTTCGGTGCTCCCTGGGGCTTGACGCCTCCTAGCCCGAAAATAACCAATCCTCACTTGTGTGATTGGCATCCTCAATGTTCTCGCTTTTTGTCCGGTGGGCTGTGGGAAGTCTCCCTAACAGTAAGAGAATGGGTGATAACATTGGACCATGCAATGCCATCGTGACTACTCGAGTCTATCCCACCCAACAACAACAAACACACACCAAACACGCCCACCAAACCGTGTAGTTGGACGCGAGGTGGCAAGTGGACAGGCGAAGTGCTGGGACAATGGCTGGCTCATCGGTAGTCTCGGTCAGTGGCAAGAGACGAAGATGAAATCACAGGACTGCGGAGTGGCCGCTGATCGCTAGCCACAGTAAAGGCTCAGAAAAGAAAAATGACACATGCGTTCATTTATGCAGGAAACACATCCTGGAATGGATCCTCCAGGGGATATCCAGAATTGTGTGAACACATCGAATGTCGACTTCCCACAGCCTAGGTGGTCGAGCCTCCCTGCACACTGGGCTGTGTGGTGCGGCCAAAATGCCTTGCCTTAAGCGCAGGCTGCAAGACTGATGCGCAGAACATGTTATACGTCACGATATTGCAGGACAACTGTAAAACAGAATGGTAAGTATTCCTGTATACTCTAAACGACATAACCTAAACTAATAGAAAAGTAAGAAAAAAATACACTATAATGTAAATCCGTTCATAGCAACATCATCACATCAATGCTGGTCCCTGATGACACAGAATGCTGTCGTGGCACGTGGCTACA